AAGTGGAGAACCATTCTTTGGATGTGGTTAATTTTATTTGAGGATAGTTTCTCATATCAATATGGAAAAATGTGGTTTGACACTTAAACGAACAGATCGATTTAAATATTTTTTTGAGAGAAAATACTAAAATCAAATTTTATTCTCCAATATGAATAGACAAGGAAAGCATGATACCCCACAACTTGATCTACGTCTACACACCACTCCAGAAATATCACCCGAAAACAAAAAACATTAATATGAAATAACAAAGAGAAAACCAAAAAAAAGAGAGAGAATATTATATGGTTATTCTTTGCTTGAGCTTGAGAAACAGTTCTTCTGCTTCTCTGCTGCTTCTTCATCTTCTTTTCTTTGTGCTTAAGTGCTCTCAGTCACTCGTTTACTCCAGAAGAATATATGGATTTCTGATTAAAGTTTGTTGCTCTTCTTTATTCCAAGGTTGCTTCTTCTTTATTATTCTTGCATTATTTTTAATTTTTGTTTGACAGATATTAATTCACACGAAGAAATTATACTTTCGCTGGTTAAAGAAGTACCTTGAATTTGGGAATTCCTTTTCCAAGTTTTGGTCCAAATATCTCCAAGGAGATTAATTTAGTAAATTAAAGATCAAAATTCCGATTTTTATATGGATGTACTTTTACATCTTTCATTCTCCAACTACTCATTGGCCACTGCCATGTAGGCATGTACTGTCTTTGTATTTTATTCAACTTGGAATATCACCGATATCGGTTTATGTTTAATTATTTGGTTTGTGTGAATAATTATTTGTTAATTAATTGACATATCACTGGCCATCATATGATTTCTCTCTGTTCAATGAATTATTAATGACGCTTTTTGCTTCTTTCTTTTCGCAAACCATCTTTAAGATTCCCCTCTTACACTTCTTTATTTCCAGTTCTAGTTTCACATGTAAGCACCAGTCTCTACAGAATCCAAAAGGTCTCACTATTGGATTGATGTCATGGATTTTCTAGATCTTCTCTACACTTTATATTTATATAATATTTATGCATACAGACACAAGTGTGTTTCCCACCAATCTCTCTACAGAATCTAAGTCCTGATTTCTTGGTTTGCTTGCCTTCTTTCTTCTTTCATCAGATTTTCTGGACCATTTTTGTCTTTTTCTGTGTGTGTGTATGTCTGTTAAACCTTAATTTTGATTCATGCTGGCAATGTTTATTTCGCAGGTTTCAATGCAAATAATCAAATGGTTACATAAGCCCAAGAAGAAAAAATCAGTTCTTTTACTAGAAATTGCCAAAAAGAAGGGGTTTTCCGTGATGATAAGAGGAGTTTCCATGGTGAAAGCAATGAGAATTGTGTTATTATGCGTTTCTGTTTTGTGGGTCGTTCCAAAGGAATCTGCTTGTAAAAGTGATTTCTCAAGAAACTCCTCTTCTTCTTCTTCTTCTTCGCCGCCATTATCGCAGAGGCCAAGCTCTGTAAATGTTGGAGCTCTGTTTACTTATGATTCTTTTATCGGAAGAGCGGCTAAACCAGCGTTTCAAGCGGCTATGGATGATGTCAACGCTGACCAAACTGTACTTAAAGGCACCAGGCTTGATATTGTCTTTCAAGACTCTAACTGCAGTGGGTTCATTGGCACCATGGGAGGTATACACTGCTTCTTCTCTCTTAAAAGTTGCACAACTAGTTAGTGAAAGTGTCTCAATGAGAGTTTTAAGTGAGTGGTGAGTAATTGATTATTCTTATGGTGTAGCTTTGCAGCTGATGGAAACGCAAGTGGTTGCAGCCATTGGCCCACAATCTTCAGGGATCGCTCACATGATCGCCTATGTGGCTAATGAGCTTCATGTGCCTCTCTTGTCATTTGGAGCAACGGATCCGACTCTTTCCTCTCTCCAATACCCTTATTTCCTGCGAACCACGCAGAACGATTACTTCCAAATGTATGCGATCACAGATTTTGTAACCTATTCCGGATGGAGACAAGTCATTGCGATATTCGTTGATGACGAGTGTGGTCGGAACGGGATCTCTGTCCTAGGCGATGCATTGGCCAAGAAACGAGCGAGGATCTCTTACAAGGCTGCAATAACACCTGGTGCAGATTCTAGCTCCATCGAAGAGTTGCTGGTTTCTGTTAATCTGATGGCATCTCGGGTCTACGTTGTTCATGTGAACCCTGACTCTGGTTTAAACATTTTCTCTGTGGCTAAGTCTCTTGGAATGATGGGAAGCGGTTATGTTTGGATCGCAACAGACTGGCTTCCTACAGTTATGGATTCCATGGAACCAGTGGATTCGGACACGATGGATCTCTTGCAAGGAGTGGTTGCTTTCCGCCACTACACAACCGAGACCAGTATGAAGAGGCAGTTCATGGCGAGGTGGAAGAATCTTAGACCCAAGGATGGCTTCAACTCTTACGCATTGTATGCTTATGACTCTGTTTGGTTAGTTGCTCGTGCCCTCGACGTTTTCTTCAGAGCAAACAATAAAATAACATTCTCTCACGATCCGAATCTGCACAAGACAAACAGTACCAGCATTCAGTTATCAGCACTAAGTGTGTTCGATGAAGGGGAGAAGTTTCTGGAGATCATTCTTGGGATGAATCATACTGGTGTGACGGGGCAAATCCAGTTCGATTCAGAGAGAAACCGGGTTAACCCGGCTTACGAAGTTCTAAACATAGAAGGCACAGGTCCACGCAGAGTCGGGTACTGGTCAAATCATTCGGGTCTCTCGGTGGTGCCTCCAGAGACATTGTACTCTAAGCCTCCAAACACATCTACGGCAAACCAGCGTCTTTACGGAATCATATGGCCAGGTGAGGTTACTAAGCCTCCTCGTGGATGGGTGTTTCCTAACAACGGAAAGCCGCTCAGAATCGCAGTGCCTAACCGTGTGAGCTACAAAGATTATGTCTCTGTCGACAAGAACCCGCCTGGCGTTCGAGGCTATTGCATCGATGTCTTTGAAGCCGCGATTGAGTTGCTTCCGTATCCTGTTCCACGTACTTATATCCCATATGGAAACGGCAAGAGAAACCCTTCTTACGACAACTTGATCAATGAAGTTGTTGCAAATGTGAGTAGATCAATTACCCAATCAAGTTCACAGCTTTGCAAAGATGCTAACCTGTCTTTTTTTTTTGTTACTCTTCAGAAGTACGATGTGGCTGTAGGAGATATCACGATTGTTACAAACAGAACAAGATTTGTAGATTTCACACAACCGTTTATAGAATCAGGGCTTGTGGTTGTGGCTCCGGTTAAGGAGGCCAAGTCTAGTCCTTGGTCATTCCTGAAACCATTCACTATAGAGATGTGGGCTGTCACTGGAGCCTTCTTTCTCTTTGTTGGAGCCATCGTTTGGATTCTCGAACACCGCTTTAACCAAGAATTCCGTGGCCCTCCTCGGCGTCAACTCATCACCATCTTCTGGTTAGTTTCCCTCTTCTTGACACCGAGCTTGAATAAACCTATAGACCTTATTCTTCTTCTCTTCATTGTTGCAGGTTTAGCTTCTCAACAATGTTCTTTTCTCATAGTAAGTACACTCTAACTCGAGTAGATTCGTTGACTCACAGCAGAGCTTACAGAATGTTGGGGAGAAGTAAAGTTTTTACCTTTTCATCTTTCAGGGGAGAACACGGTGAGTGCATTGGGGAGGCTGGTGCTGATCATATGGTTATTCGTGGTCCTGATCATCAACTCGAGCTACACGGCCAGTCTCACCTCGATCCTAACAGTTCAACAGCTGACATCTCGGATTGAAGGAATAGATAGTTTGGTAGCCAGCACCGAGAAAATTGGAGTTCAAGACGGCACCTTTGCTCGGAACTATCTGGTCAACGAGCTTAATATAGCTCCTTCTAGGATTGTTTCACTGAGAGACGAAGAACAGTACCTTTCTGCTCTTCAACGTGGTCCCAAGGATGGAGGCGTGGCAGCCATTGTAGACGAGCTTCCTTATATCGAAGTCCTTTTGTCAAACAGCAACTGCAAGTTCCGTACAGTAGGACAAGAATTCACACGCACAGGCTGGGGTTTCGTATGTAAAATGGGTTTTGGAGAAACTTACTTCTGTATATATATATCCTTTGCTGTTTGCCTATGAGTTTGCTTATACAAGAACCTCTGAAACCGATGTTGCAGGCATTCCAGAGAGACTCCCCTTTAGCTGTAGACATGTCGACGGCTATCTTGCAGCTGTCTGAAGAAGGCGAGCTCGAGAAAATCCACAGGAAATGGCTTAACTACAAGCATGAATGCTCTATGCAGATCTCAAACAGCGAGAACTCTCAGCTTTCGCTCAAGAGTTTCTGGGGACTCTTCCTTATCTGTGGCATCACTTGCTTCATGGCACTCACTGTCTTCTTCTGGAGGGTGTTCTGGCAGTACCAGAGGTTGCTACCTGAGAGTGGGGACGAGGAAAGGGCGGCACACGAAGTGACCGAGCCGCCATCTCGATCAGGGAGAGGTTTACGAGCACCAAGTTTCAAGGAATTGATTAAAGTTGTGGATAAGAGGGAAGCAGAGATCAAGGAGATGCTGAAACACAAGAAACTCCAAACTTCCCAAAGTGGAGCTGGGAGTTCACATTCACAACATAGCGAAATTTCTTAAACAGATAGAGTTCAACCATTTGTTTAAATGACTATTAACATACTTAGGTGGGGTAGCTAAAAGTATCATAAGATTTTGTAATAGCAAAGTTCAAGGAACCAAAAACCAAAAACCAGAGATAGATTTGTATATCTTATCCTGCTGATACGTAACTGAAAAACTCATCTTCTTTTCCTCATCAAAGTTAATATTTTAGATAGAAGCTTGCAAGTGAACAAAACTACCAGAAGATTCATAAAACTGAAATGTAACTTCACGTATCAATTTATTTGGCATTATGACAAAATAAGAAGGTGTTGCTGATACATGTCGAAGGGAAACTTAAAATCGCAGTGTTGGCGCTTACATGCTCAGTTAAAAAGTTGGATGGGGAAAAAAGGAGTGAATTTACTCAAGTTTTACTTCTCTCTTTGGAGGTTCCAGGTCGAGGTACGTGAATGGCTCTGTTGGTTCCTCTCTGAAAAAAAGCAAGATAGATGGTTCAGACTCCACATTTAGTATGAATAACGAACCGAGGATGATTAAGAGCTACAAGAATGCAGATAAGTTTTAAAGGTCTATATTTTATGAATCAGAAACACCATTTATTCATTGTCAATGCAAGTAATGCCAAAGGTTCTGCAACCGTCTTACCCTGGCTTAGAGCGCATGCATCTGTAGAATAGTTTGAAAGGTCCTGGAACCGTCTTAAATGGGTTTCCCTCGAAAATCGCCTGCAAAATTTACAGATGTTCCTAATGTATATAGGTCACTAGAAGTCCTGTTTTATGAAAATTTGCAATAATCACAGCCCAAGCAAATTGCAGTTTTAGTTCTTCAATTGCAGTAAAACAGTGTATAGCAACAAACAAACTCAACAGCTGATGCAAGCTTCAACAAACAAAACTGAATATAGAATCACAAAATCCAATTAATTTAATAAGGTGTTGATCCTTCATTATCAAATCCCATCAACCATCATTCTACATTCCTGGTTCCTTCAGCGATTCGAATGATGATAAGTAACAGAACCCTAGAAAAACCCTAACTTGATTTCACTGAATCTCTGATGCTACAAGCCTATTACTCATCACCCCAAAAACAAAGTAGCAGGAGAGATCCAAAGGCATAGCAGAAACTAGAAGAAGAAGAAAAAAGTCGAATATTTAAAACCGATGGGAAACAAGGAAGGAAATGGTGGAACCTGGATGACGTCCTCGACACGATCGTTGCAGCGATGAGCTTTGGGCTCACGGTGACCTTCCGGTAAACCCCATGGACTCTCCCTCCTCGGCACTGGTCTCGTCTCGCTCATTTTCCTTTCTCTCTTGCCTCTGGAAAATCTCAATCGCAGTGTTGAAATCAAAAATCTTAACTTTCCCCACTTGATCGAACCGGAGTCTTCTCTCCGGTTTATTAATTCCGTCTAGTGAACCAATAATTAAATCATTTATTTGTGTTCACTTGAAGTCTTCTCTCCGGCGCATGTGTATATACGTTTTTCCAGTCAACGACTCTCCTTCGAACTCTGAGCAGAAAGTTTCGATCGAAGAAAGATGGGAGCTTTCGGGAAGCTGATAGATGTGATTCTCTTCTTGTTCTTCGCTCTAATGGCGGTTATCGCGCCGCTCATCGACGGGCAAACGGCACTTCCTAAAGGAATCTTCCCGGAGTTTCTCACCGATCTGAAAAGCAATTACATGGCCGATTTCGGAGATTACTTGCTCATGGAGAAGCCGCATTTCCTCGTCGGGCTCGTCTGGCATGAGCTTGTATTCCTGTGGCCGCTCTCGATTGCTAACGTCTACGCGATTCTCGCCGGAAAGCCGTGGTTTGGTACCACCTGCTTGATCTACGGAGCTTCCCTCGTGACTTCAATGGTACAGTGATTTTCTCTGTTTTGTCTCTAAATTACTGGTCAGATCTTGTTTAGTATTGATATGCAAGCTGAGCATCTAAATCTCAGAACTTTCCTTCTTTGACAATGAGAAATACTACACAGTGTGCATTAACCAAATTCTTGTATGGACTAGTGTAAAGCTCACTAGTTTCATAGCATTTTAGTATTGATAATTAAGTTATGCCAAACTATTTTACTGAAATTAGCTCAAAGTTTTGAAATTTCTCAATGTTCTCAATGTGACTGATATAACTAGAACCAATCTTGAACTGCTTCGGTTTTGCTGTAGTCTGCATTTATAGACGTCTTGTCTGCATTTTTGTGGACCTATTTGTGTCTTCTGCTGATAGATTTTCTGTCTGTGACAATCTTTTAGGCGGCAATCCTCGGAGAAATGATAGGTTCGGGGAAGGCATCTGAAAGATTGCTACAGATGTATGTGCCTTTCATGGGTATTGGGATTCTGGCTGTTCTTCGTGGTTTAGTCTCTCGTTCAACCAGAAGCACCGGATCTGGTGGCAAGAGAACCACTATCATGCCCAGGAGAAAGCTGGCCTAGAGGTGATTCCTCACTGTCCCTAGTTATCTTTTTCTTTATGTGCCTTTGGGTGGGAGAGGTATTGCTTCTTCCATGTGATAAAACGCAATTTTCAAGTCTTAATTATATGAGAACAGAAACACTTGCTTGAGAGATTTTTGGTACGGTTGAAACTGAAACCACAACCTTAAAGCTAAGAAAATTGTGAGCTTTTTTGATAAACCAACTTTCATAAGCTTACAGTGCAAAGACAAAAGAAAAGCGATATAGCAACAAAAAATACTTTTGAGGTATATATAAACGAAACCCAAAGGGAAGACAAACTTCAAATTCCTGATGAGGTTCCATCTAACCACAAGAAAGAAAGTAAGAAGAAACACAACTGTAACACAAAAACAAGTTTTAATAGCATCTCTGACCTAGAATCTTTCTTCAACTTTTCTAATTCACTATGTTTGCAGGGGAAGTCAATTCCCGAACCTCGTCAAAACCATTTTCATTTTCACTTTCAAGTAGAAAGTTTTTCACTGCTTAGTTTCAACAAATAAGCAGAGCAAAACTTAACACTACTAACACATAACATTACTCAATGGTATATCGTTGTGAGGTTCGCTCTTGACTCCTCCGCTTTTTCCCCATTAACACACCCAATCAAAAGCTCTCTCTCTTCAAACAGAAACATCTTTCCTTTGTCTTTGTTTCCATTTGTTGTTTCCTGAAGAAAGAACCAAATAAGGATGATCACATAAAGGCGTAACAGAGAGACAAAAACCTGCCAATTGTTTACAGAAACTACCTAGTGGGTGGTTTTTCAAACAGTCTCGCAAGACATGGAAACTTTAATCCTCTCAACAGTGCAAGCGATTAGATTGTTGACAGTTGCAACAGAGCCAAGAGACAGCTTAGCCGTAGGAACCGAGTCAACCAGAATCTGAAAAGCAACAGTCAAGAGCGACCCTCCTTCTCCTCCAGCGGCTCCACCATTGGCATTACCATCAGGAAGAATAGCAAAACCAGACGGAAGCAGAGCCACATAGTCCGGATCGCCTCCATTAAGTACTATGTTCATCGCCACAATATCGACAGGGGCGTAGATCACAAAGGAAGCTGTAGGATCGGTGCAGCTCTCTTGTAGAATCAGCATATTGCTCTGGCTAGAGTTTGCACTCTGTCACATAAAATAAAGATTGAAAAAGTATCAGATGAATTATGACCAGAGTTATGAAAAATTCGCTTTTAGGAAATTACTCACGTTTACCCGGAGAAGAGAAACGCAGTTTCCGGTTTCCCTCCCATTAGCAATATGTGCCATTTCTTGCACAACTCCTCCATTTGACAAAATATCCCACTGCAAAATCTCACCAACATTAAAAAAAAAACTCTGTTCCGAATCAGAACGAGAGTGCTTAGTAACTAAAAGACTTACCTCATTTCTTGAATTCTCATCTCTGAGGAAGTCAAAGACTCGCTTCGGAGGAACAGGGATCCAAAAAGAAGTGGCTGCACTAAGAACAATACCCGGAGGCCTCCCTGGATCATCCACACTCTTCCTAGTCATCACTCTAACATCTTCAGCTCCTGTACCAGACAATGTAGTCCACGTGTGAGCTGTTGAAGCACTCACTCCTGCACAAAAGCTTATAACCATCCTCTCCGCCAATTTCAGCATACTCCTCCTCCCTTCTTGGTTTGTTATCACTGCACATTCATCAACATACTACTAAGATTCTGCTTCTAAAATTTGTTTGTGGAGAAAGTACCTTGTGAAAACAAAAACAGCATGTTATACCGCCGACTTCTCCTGATGAAATGTTTGTAGCCATGACGCTCGCTAACCGCTCGCACTGGCGGTCAAGAATAGCTACCCAGCGCTTAGCACCAAAGGCGTGACCAGTACTAACCATGTGTTTATATAAGTTATGAACTCCTCTGTCATCAACTTCCACATGTTCCACCCAAGTCACCTGTTACATTTAAAGAATTTAAATTTGTTTTCATACCTAATGTTTATTTATTAATTGTTACCTTAGAGTATCCATTTGGCATATCTTGAATCAAACATCCCGAGGCTCGCCGCCTGCATCTAACCGGAGGATTCGGCTGGAGACTATCCAAGGAGATATCGACAACCGCCCACGAACCATCTGCTTGTTGTTTACAGTAACGTGCGAAATAGGTCTCGCGGGTCGGGACTAATGGTGATGGGACTTGAAACTCTGCAGTCATCTGACAAAACAGAGTGGTTACTTCAGTTCCAAGTTTTTCATTAGTTTCAAGTTTACATTATAACACAGTGAAAGAAAGAAATAATTTACCACTTGAAGAGCTCCGTTATAGTTTCCTGCAACTCCTGTAGATAGAACTGCCAATGTCATCGCTCTAGAAACAATCCCCGCGAAAACCGTCGACCATTGATTCTGCAATATCATGTCAACGTTGAAAAAAAAAAACTCTTGAAAAGAGAAGATTGCGTATATATAAAATGCAAAACGAAAATGTTAATTACCAAATCCATGAGAATCTCAACAATGTTAACATGATTCATGATCACAACCGCGCTTTCCCGCGATGCTTCGGATCTAAACCCAGCCGGTTTAGGTCCGATCCCTCTAGGAAACGTTCGTGCGTATTCTTCTTCGTCTAATACCAAACTCTTCCACAAAGGCTCGTCCACTTGGGCCATCCTCGTGAGCTCTTCCATTGCAGCCACGGCTAAGTCTATGATCACGGGTTTATCAGATTCTGTTGGTGCACTCATGGACTTGAAGAGATCGGTTGGGTTGTTTCCATAAACATCTCCTCCAAGATTTCCCATGGCGAGTTCCAGAGGACGTGGAGGAAGAGGAGGAGGAGACATAAGAGGATAGCTTGAGACTGGCTTCCCTACGTATTTGGCTGCGATCGCGGATATTCGATCGATCTAGATGACACGAACAAGAAAGATAATTTGTTCATATATATGGTTTCGGGTCACAAGAAGAACTAACGCTAATGTTCAAAAAAAAAAAAAAAAAAAGAACTAACGTTATTACTTTATCTTGTTTTAGGTTTTATGAATTGCTCTCTCCATTACTTTAAGGTAATATATATATATGTTTTACGTTTTATTTATTTAAACACAAAATACATGTTTTAAACTTTTTATAGAAAAATGAATGCTTCAATACTTAATTTACTCTACGTGAAATTTTCTACAACAGCTAACCTGATGAAGGAGAGTAACTTCCGTTCAGTAGTAAATTAAACATGCGAGTAACATTGATTGTACACTAAATTAGTAGTAAACTAGAATTGGTACAATATCTATATAAGATTTAAAAGGTGAATTAATCAACTATAACTCACATACCTCTTCTCTTAATCGAGCATTTTCGAGGCGGAGTTGATGTTCATCGAAGGACATTTCTCCAATAGCCGTTGGACCACCACAATTAGGACATGAAGCATTTGCAAGAGCCTCTCGATATCTGAGGTTGTCTCCTCGAAGCTTTTCGTTTTCCGCCCTAAGATGCGAGTTCTCGTGTCGCTCGTGATGATTCTGCGCGAATAAATTCATATTTCTTAATTGTCTTCATAGTTTATATATATTTATATTGATTGTAATTTTTGGTTGTGTTCCTGTTAATCAGTATACATATATTAGAAAACCATACTTTATGATTTGTGTAAAAATGAAGCAACAAAGGATTTTTACTAAAAGAGGAAAAGTATATGTATGCACACACATAATACACTTGTTTACACGTTATGTGTTTCACCGTATTAGCATAACGTAAGCACATGAGTCCAAAAGGTTTCAATCAATAGATTATGGTTCTAACTTAGCTATTAAATGGGCAGGTTTTCTTTAACTAAACAACCTTTCTATGGCTGAATCCGCCAAAAATTCAAAATTTTTTTATGGAATTCCCTAAAATCTTGTAAAATAAGTATGACTGAGACCAGATGCATAAGTCTAAGTATAAACATGAGCGCATATATATACGCAATATGAATGGGATCATAATTTTATATACATATGTATATATAAACTAATATAGAACCATAATTTGTATATATAAGTATATGCGCATAATATACCTTCATTTGGGTGCGTTTGTTCTGGAACCAGAATTTGACCTGAAGAGGCTCCAAACCCAATTCACGGCTAAGTTGTTTCCTTTGCTTGTCATCTGGGTGAGGACACTCTTTGAAGAATCTATTCACCAACCAAAATAATAAAATTAAATTAATTTGCAACAAAAAAAGAAGATGGAAGTGATTCAAACATGAAGTTTGTGAGTAAAATTATACATACGCTTCCATCTCCTGGATCTGAAGTTGGGTGTGTCGATGATATCGTTTCTTCTTATTAGGATGATGAGGATCTTGATCATTTCCTGATCCTCCTTCTTGGTTCTCACTTCCTGATTTAGTATTCGCACTATCGAATTCATCATCCCGAAGAAATCCTTCATTGTTATTGTTGTTTTCTTCATGGTTGTAGTTGTGGTTGTTGCTATCTGCGTTGTTCATAGTCGCAAGCAACATATTTGGCTCGAACATCTCTTTCCTTATTATACTGGAATCTGAAAGCAAACCTAAAAACAAAAAGAGTTGAAAGTTTTGTCAAACATCAAAAAGGATTAGGGTTTCTTTGATGGTACGAGAGCCAAGTCAAGAAGATGAGAAATTTCACCAAGTATGTGAAAAAAATGTGGCAACACTCTTTCCACGTCAACAACTAAAATCTTCTTTTGGAGTTCTTCTATCTTTCTTCTGAAGATCTTACAAAAGGATAGATGAAAATAGAAAAACGAAGAATTTGGAGATGCTTGTAGGAAACAAAGGACCCACTAATTGAAAGCAAGAAAAAAGAGCCTTGCAAAAAAAAGAACATCACAATCACAAATTAATAATATGTTATTAAATAACCAACCCAATATATTGAATTCAACATACTCCAGATTATTCAAACCTCCCAAAAAAAATTCCTTTAAAAAAGAAAAACCTAATCAACAGTCGAAAATGAAAACTTATATTGATTCATTTGTAGTGTAGATAAAAATCAGTAGATGTCTCAGATAATAACTTCGATGGATGATGATTAAATTACAGTTTCGAGGTATTTGCTTACCTATTTAGAAGACGGAGAGGAAAGAGAAGACGAAAAGAGAAATGTTGGACTCATTTGTTCAAAGCAAATAAAATAGAAAAGAAGTAGGTACAAAAGAAATCCCAACTCTATCCTGTTTATGTTAAAACCCAAATATTTTCGTGAGAAGTGAAAAAAAAATGTAATAAGTGTAAACTAGCATTTCAAAAAAATTGAAATGAAAAATATATTAATATATATATGTGCACGGTGCGACGGGCCAACATAGAAGTTATTATACAACTTACAACCAACGTGACATAAGGCCTGGGTGATGAATTAAATTTTCCAGCTATTTTTTTTTATCGTCATCAATAACATTTTTATTTCAAACATTAGTATATAAATGTATGCAAGTATATATACACGTGTTATATAAAACAAACGTATAGTGAAAAGAAGGATATACGAAGAGAATACAAACCTTTATAATACTGTTTTTTTTATATTATAAAAATGTGTTTCTTTGTCTTGAGGGTTTCATATCTGACTATGCCGAATTTTAACAATATTAATAAAAAAAATTAAAAAAACCAAGAAAGCCAGAAATCAAAATAAGAGATGAATTACAAGAATATAGGAAGCATTTTATCTCTAAAGACGAAAATAAAATGACTCACTGAAAATTTAATATAGACGATATAAGATTATCATAAAAGTGAGAATGCAATGAAGAGGTAATGATCCAATACATTAAACAAATACTAATCTTTTATATTCAATATCAGTGATGAAGCAAAAGAAACCCAAGAAATGATTAGGTTTCGAGACATACACTGCAAGGAAGTAGCGAGCAAACCTCAGAGGGAGAGAGAGGAGTGGATCGGTTTCTGATCTGAGATTTGTTTGTCGGAAAACCGGTGATGGTTTTGGGAAGAGGTTATTTGACGAAGGGTTTGAAAGGTAGGTGCAAATATTGGAGGGAGGGAGAGAGAGAGAGAGAGAGAGAGAGAGAGAGGAGAAATGGGAGGGGAGAGTAAAGGCAGAGAGTATTGAGAGGGTGCGATGAATTAAATGGTGAGAGAGGGACACTTAATTATCCTACACGCTTATTGAGAGGGTGCGAGAGCGGAGAGATATGTTAACAATTTGTTTTGTTTTAATCTTATACAGTATATTGAGAAACTGATACTACTACAGAAATCTTATATATATCGAGAAATTAATACTAGTACTACAGAGAGACCAACCCTATAATATATCTATCTATATATATATGATGTAATTTTGAAATTTTATTAACATTGTTCTAATTATTATATACACTTAGCAAAAATAACTAGATTAAACGTTGCTTAAATAGCTACAAGCTAACATAGTTCTTCATTTTCATAATAAAATTAGATAATGCAAAAACAATATAACAACAGTATGATATAAATATGAATATACGATCATTAAAAGATACTATAATTTAATTTGAACTTCCTGAATTAATATTCGATCATTTTATTCCATCGCTTCACAATATGACCTTTTTTTTGTTGAGAAAAGTTACGACTCTATTTTGCATGTTTAGATACGTCTTAGACTCTCAGCATCAAATTAAAAAGAAGAAGATTTGTTTAGTTACTTGAGTGGCCGGAGCATTTAATTAGTTATATTATAGCGAGAAATTAAGTTGTCTAAATGCAAATCATCCACTAAAAAGTTATAATTTGTAATAGTCATCCATTCGTAATGTAGTTACGTTGTTTATCACGCGAAGATACTGCGTGTTTACTTCACTATTCCATAGGTTTTTTTTTTTGGGGGTCAAAATCCATATGCTTTTATAAACAGCTCAAAAGGAACGTTAACCCTTTCTGATTTTTTATTTTAAATCTAATAGGAATGTACATATATATATATAGATGGAGCTGTACGTATATGATAGGGTGGCGAATAGTTTATTGGCATTAAATGTTAACACAGAGGCTGCATGGCTTAGGCCATTTACTGCTCTCATGCCTCTCTTGCACTTTAACCTCCTCTTCTTTCGTACTCTCCTACTAATAAAACTAATAATTCAATGCCTAACATTTTTTTGAGTTTTTCCTGCTACTTCCAACCAAAAACGAAAAGTTAGTTCAAAGAACTGCTACATTACATAGTATTATCCTAAAGCTGTTTTATGGTCCACCGCAGAAAAATTTGATACGTAAAGAAAATAACATATTTAACCAAAGTAACACATATTATATATATACTCACCGTGTGAACCTGTTTACGATTTTGGTGTTATGTTGCAGTGTGGTAAATTTGGCGTCTTGCATATGTGCGATCACACATGTGGTTTTTTTTTGTAAGAATATATATTATGTTAGAATATATATATATATATATGTGTGTTTTAAGAAAAATAAATATGTATGTAAATATGATCTATGATCTATCCAAATAATTATATCAATAAAAAACCAATCTGCTTAATATGTATTTGTCTTTTTATTTTCTTTGATAGCGCTTCATTGTGGTCAATTTAATTGCTAGGATGTTCTTTTTGGGTTTAGCTAATTTTTCGTTGGAAAAAGGATGTTTTTGAGAAAAGGTCGTGGTTAATTTTGTTTTTGGGTTTCCTAGATGGGCCGTAAAACGATATCCTATGACGACGATTCGAACCAGAAGGACAAGGTTCAACATATTTTTGGGAAAACCAAACCAATCACTATTGGAACAATTTCTGTTGCTTGGTAAAAAATTGGAACAATTTCTGTTGTGTGCGTGTCATTTTCACGCAGAGACAATGCTTTTGTTCTCTGTATCATTTCAATTTGATCAAATCTCTTCGTGGGACATGTATTTCTCATCATTTCATGAATTTAGCAATGGTTCATTTTTTTTTTGTTTGTTGGCTTTGTAATAGTCTTCAGATCGTTACTTCTTCCACAAGAAAGTGCAGTGCATTAAGCCACAATTACTAAATTTAGCAACTTGGATGATTTTCTAGAAGAATGTAGGAACGTGGAATCCACATACGATAACAGTTTACATTATTAGTATTTTTTTTATGTTTCACTTTGGGAGCTAAGGATTGATAAAAGAAGTCACCTAATTACAGGCTGTTTAAACAAGCTTCTCAAAGTCAATAGCTTTTTAAAGAGCAAACCAGGATTTGAAGCTTTCTTTATTTGTAACACGATTTTGAGTTCTTATAATTCTGGGAAATTTTATATTCAACCACCAACAGAGATGAAAACAAAAAGAGATAGTGGAGGCCCTGCCATGTCCTTCTCCTCCTCCTCTGTTTTTCAAACCTCATTAAGAATCAGAGTAATACTGCAAATGGGTTTATCTAAATCCCATTTGACACTTCTCCACGGAATTTTTCAACGTATCTGGATGTTCTATAAAAGGCCTGAGAGTGTCTCCTTCATCTCCACGACCAAACTCGTTCTCACCTTTATTGGCTTATACTCAACAAAGTAAACCAGCTAAAACAGGAGAGAGGGAGTGATGGCGATCAAGAACCTTGTTGCCCTCGTGGTCATTCTTAGCGTTGTTGGAGTTTCAGTTGCAAATCCGAAGGGTCTTGACCTCAACTACTACAAACATAGGTGTCCGGATGCAGAAGCCATTGTCCGTAGTGTCACAGTCCAATATGTTTCGCGCCAGCCGAGTATTGCCGCGGCGCTTTTAAGGATGCATTTTCATGATTGCTTCGTCAGAGTAAGTTTGCTTCACAAGTCTCTGAAATCTACGAAACGATATAATAATGCATGTGAAGAAGAATGCTAACTCTTTTCTGTGATGCATATAGGGATGTGATGGTTCCATTCTTCTGAAATCTCCAAACAAGGATGCGGAAAGAGACGCTATCCCTAACTTATCTCTCAGAGGCTATGAAGTGGTTGATGCCGCCAAGACGAAGCTCGAGAAGAAGTGTCCCGGTGTGGTTTCTTGCGCTGATGTTCTCGCCTTAGTCGCCAGAGATGCCGTCGTCCACGTAAAAATTCATAATAATTCTTTTAATTCCAAAACCGTTGAGTACTATATCACTTATTGATGTTGCTTTTGTTACAGATCAATGGACCATGGTGGCCCGTTCCACTGGGTCGGAGGGATGGACGCATCTCAAGACAATCTGAGGTGAATCTACCATCCCCATTCGCCGGAATAGCTGCATTGAAGCAGAACTTCTTCGCCAAGGGTCTTAACACTAAAGACCTTGTTGTTCTCTCAGGTATTTCCTTTTGTGCATTTTCTGAAACCTCACAACTTTATGTTACCAATTAAGCTGCACTATAAAATGGTTTCTTGCACAGGGGGTCACACCATTGGAATCTCTAACTGCGGTCTTGTCAACGGCCGTATCTACAACTTCACGGGCAAAGGAGATTTTGACCCGTCGATGAACCCTAGCTACGTCAGGGCATTGAAGAAAAAGTGCAAGCCCACTGACTTCACGTCCAAGCTGGAGATGGACCCAGGCAGTGTCAAGAAGTTTGACTCCCACTACTTCAACGTTGTGGCTCAGAAGAAGGGTTTGTTCACATCTGACTCTACCCTTCTCGACGACCCTGAGACCAAAAGATACATCGATACACAGGTCCAGTCTGCTGGCAAATCATTCGCCAAAGATTTCTCTGACTCTATGCTCAAACTCGGCTTCGTCGAAATCCTCACCGGGAACAAAGGTGAGATCAGGAAGAGATGCGCCTTCGTTAACTAATTCGAGATTCGGATTGATGATTGAGTCAAAACGATTTCTGCTTATTATGTTTTTTTATTCGATGGTGAGAAGTCCTTTCACGGACTAGAGTCATGTGTTTTTTATTTTTTTTGTATGTGGTTCAACGTTTTCCAATGTCCTCTACTATTCCTTTTCAAAGTCTGAATTAATTTGAAATGATTCAAACTGAATCAAAAGCAAAGGAGAGAAAAATGAACTTAGCTAGGCTAAAATTCTTTATATATATATTAGTATTAATTAACAAGTGAAGATGGTAAAACAATTAATATCTTTAATCTGTAAACAATTACACCTCATGACAATGATTTATAATTATTATTTTAAATATTGCACGAATATTAATGTTAGAGAAGACCGAGAGACTCCAGTCACAGTTTATAGGGTTCTAGTCACAGTTTGTGTGATACCTAAAATTGATAGTCACATGTATAGACAAAGGTTGTGTGATACCTAAAAAAGGTGGATTAAATGATAAATCTGAAAGTGTGAGTCTTTGTCAATTTCGGGGAGGTTTTCTGCACCATTCAAACAGTCGACAAGATAAAAACTTGAAGGGAAAACTAAAGAGGATGAGAAGGATAGAGTTTGAGAAAGTTATGGAAAAAATGATGCAGGCGAAGAAATTGAAAACGTGTGTTCCACACATGACAAACAAATATATATATATATATATATATATATATATAACTTGTTTTAGTTTGCAGAGTTAAATGAAAGACATAGCTTGCTTTCTAAAAGTCAATAGCCTTTAGAAAGAGCAAAAGAGACGGCTGAGGCTGAAAAGATTAAGATCATTTCGATATTTTGAGTTTTCAATTGCTAGGTATTTTATAACTAATCAAGAAGATCGTGGAGGCCTCTCATCCTATGTTTTTCAAATCTAGATAAGAAGCAGATGAATATTTGTAAATGGGTAATTATCTAAATCCGAAGTTGACATTTGACAATGGACTTTTTCAAGTCCGAAGACGTACGTATCCATAACTTCACGGGCCAAGGAGCCGTTGACCCAGCAATGAAAATGAATACGTTAGGGCACTGAAGAAAAGGTGCAAGCCAACTGATGTCAGGACTATAGTAGTGGATATATATGGACGACCTAGGCAGTGTCAAGAAGTTTGACTCTCACTATTTCAACATCGTGGCTCAGAAGAAGGGTTTGTTCACATCTGATTCAACACTTCTCGATTGACTGGTTTTGAACCGATTAATGGATGGAAAAATGTAATCTTTGGGCTTAAAATTTTTGATAAGAATATATGATATTTTCAATGAGAAGAAATTAGGAACTTTTGTCATGCATTGAAGGAAAGTTTTTAACATTCTGTTGTTTGCTTCCTTGTGACGGCAATCAAATCATGTTTACTTTGCTGTCACCAGTATTGTATAACAACACTTTGGAGTTTGGAGGATCAAATAAAATCTAGTGTTCAAAAATGCTAGCGTCTTAATTTTTTGATTAGCTATTTGTCTCCAAACCAGTGACGACAAAATCATGTTTATCGCTAAAATTTAGCCCTTCTTCAAAACTCCAAATTAAAGTAGTATTGTTCCCCCAAAAAAAAAGTAAAAAGTAAAAACAACGAAACGAATTCTTTGTAGTTGTCGCCCATTCTCGGCGATAGCAAAACGATTATGAATCTTTTAAAGTAAATTATTATTCAAAGAAACATGAGATTTCCAATGCATGATACAAAGGTAAATAAAAAAACTCTGTCTGAAAAACAGACTTGGAGGTAGGAAAGAAACATGCAAAAGAAAGAATAAATGGAAAATGCTGAATCAATCATCCAAAGAGACAGTGCTTAAACTCAGTTAACGAAGGCGCATCTCTTCCTGATCTCGCCCTTGTTCCCGGTGAGGATTTCGACGAAGCCGAGTTTGAGCATAGAGTCAGAGAAATCTTTGGCGAATGATTTGCCAGCAGACTGGACCTGTGTGTCGATGTATCTTTTGGTCTCAGGGTCGTCGAGAAGGGTAGAGTCAGATGTGAACAAACCCTTCTTCTGAGCCACAACGTTGAAGTAGTGGGAGTCAAACTTCTTGACACTGCCTGGGTCCATCTCCAGCTTGGACGTGAAGTCAGTGGGCTTGCACTTTTTCTTCAATGCCCTGACGTAGCTAGGGTTCATCGACGGGTCAAAATCTCCTTTGCCCGTGAAGTTGTAGATACGGCCGTTGACGAGACCGCAGTTAGAGATTCCAATGGTGTGACCCCCTGCGCAAGAAACCATTTTATAGTTCAGTTTAATTGGTAAAATAAAGTTGTGAGGTTTCAGAAAATGCACAAAAGGAAATACCTGAGAGAACAACAAGGTCTTTTGTGTTAAGACCCTTGGCGAAGAAGTTCTGCTTCAGTGCAGCTATTCCGGCGAATGGGGATGGTAGATTCACCTCAGATTGTCTTGAGATGCGTCCATCCCTCCGACCCAGTGGAACGGGCCACCATGGTCCATTGATCTGTAACAGAAGCAACATCAACAAGTGATATAAAGTAATATAGTACTCAACGGTTTTGGAATTAAAGGAACCAGTAGTCCATTATTATGAAATTTTACCTGGACGACGGCGTCTCTGGCGACTAAGGCGAGAACATCAGCGCAAGAAACCACACCGGGACACTTCTTTTCGAGCTTGGCCTTGGCGGCATCAACCACTTCATAGCCTCTCAGAGACAAGTTAGGGATAGCGTCTCTTTCCGCATCCTTGTTTGGAGATTTCAGAAGAATGGAACCATCACACCCCTGCATGCATCACAGAAAAGAGTTACCATTCTTCCTCACATCCATTATTATATAGTTTCGTAGAAGAAGAGAATTGTGAAGCAAACTTACTCTGACGAAACAATCATGAAAATGCATCCTTAAAAGCGCCGCGGCAATACTCGGCTGGCGCGAAACATATTGGACTGTGACACTACGGACAATGGCTTCTGCATCCGGACACCTATGTTTGTAGTAGTTGAGGTCAAGACCCTTCGGGTGCGCAACTGAAACTCCAACAACGCTAAGAATGACCACGAGGGCAACTAGGTTCTTGATCGCCATTCTTCTTTTTTCGTATCGTTGGCTTTTAGGAGTAGAGAGGCCAAGAAATATGGAAAGTAGCTTGGAGATGAAGAGGAAGGAGACAATTTCATGCTTTTTATAGATAATTCAAAGACGTTGAAGACGTCATGTCAAAATGGGATTTCAGATATAAATATAACCCATTTGCAGGTACATTGCAGGCCTCCATATTTTCCAAGTAATGAAAAATTCGAGGAAGGAAAGAAATATTCAGAATACCTTTTTTTTTTACATATTTGAAATCATAATTGACTTATTAAATTTAAGCTTCTTAACAATATAAATGGAGTTGCATGAATGTCTTGCACGTTTTCTTCTAGCTAGTTGACATGGTTCAAACGACAAATTGTAAACAAACATTATAAATTTCTTTTATGAGTAACTAAATCCAACTTGCTACTTAAAATCGTAAGTAAGTTTTTTAGGCAAACTAGAATATGTTGTTAAGGCCTATGTGGATCACACGTTCCGTGATTATTCGGATAGACGTAAGACGTCGGGATATGAAAGAGGACAATAACTTTAGTCGCAAGTTGAAATAATGAACACGTTCATAACCTTTAAAAAATAAACGTTCAGTTTAAATCAGTACTATCTCTTTTGTAACTAAAATTGCAACATAAGCTTACGGTAATTTTTTTAACAAAGACATGCATCCATTACAAGAGTATGTACAAAACTGTCCCATATTTTTGTTATTTACAAAACCGTTGTACATTTTTCAGTATTAATATAACTTTCACTATTTACAAAATTAGCCCATAACTTAAAGTATTTTCATAACTGCCTCATAACCTCTGTGTTTTTATAAAATGTTTTTTAAATAGGAAATTCAAGAGAAATTGGTAAAAACATAATAGGAAACAATAAAGAAAGAAATTTTTTTTGAAAAAGATATTTATTTCTTAAAACATCTAACCATTAGAAATTGACGAAATTTTAAACCACCGAAACTCTTTTCATATTTATAAGGAAATACACCCAGAACTTATGTTATTTAGTGAATTAAGTCATACGTATTTTTTTTTTTTTTTTTGTAAAATTCACAATGTATCAGTAAATTATCCATCAGATCATTGCAGCCCTCCAATAAACCACGGTCTTCGTGCCGGATGAGAAGATGCCAACATTTGAATGACCGTACTAAATTGGCGTGGTAATCAGACGAAAAGCCCTCCTTGAGCAGTTGAATCTTTTATTTATTCTAAGGGTGTATTTTCACTTTATTTGTAATTTAATTTTATAGAGCAGTTGTGTGAAGTTATTTGTTGTCCACTTCTCCTTATAACACAATGTTTTTTATTTTAATATTGATTTCTCATGTTGCAAACAAGGATTAGGGCCAAGATATAAGCAACAACAACTTAGGACAATACAAACATTATAAATAAGAATATACATTGTAAAGTTGGAATATATATAGTATTAACATATGATATCTTGGCATACGAAATCGGCATCGTCACCAAACCCCTTAACTAATCTTCTACATCTGTTACCTTAAGGAATTATAAAAAAATATAAAGAAACGATAATAATCTTGGAATGCTTTCTTGCCCGTTAGTGATTGTTTTACGGTTCCTCTAATTGTATTATTAGGAAGGATTAGGTCGAGTGCTGTAATTTTGGCATAAAGAAAGATCATTGATTTCACGAAACGAGTTGTTCACTAATGACACAACGGTTTCATATCTGGAGGCTATCTGTTCAACTAGTATATTATGATTATAAAAATATAAATTCAAATTTCGAGTTCGATTTTCACGACAAGAGGAAGCTAATTAGCCTTGGTTTGGTCAATAATCTAGATGATGTCATATAAATATATTCTCAACTATATATAAACCTTTTTGTTGTTGATTATAACATTATAACGCTCAATTAAGTGTGGCTCGGATTTTATGTTACTTACAACTTACTATAGGTCTACTTGTGGACTAAACATTACCTCCTCTTTTAGCAAATCTAATACTTAATTTATCACTATAAGTGGATATAGTTAGTTAGGCGGTTTGAAATTCATTGAGGCAAACATGATTTATTATTTTTCTTGTAGCAACATAATCTATTCAATAGTAAGGGTAAAACCATTTATATTTATATTTAGATATTTATGAATTTAAAAGTTTCAAATCTTTGTTGTGAGTGGCGCTGATTATGAGTCATACAAATTCCAAAAAAAATTAAAGGGAAACTCTTTTTTTTTTTTTACAGCAATTAAAGGACAACTCGTAAGCGCACATGTTAGTTAGCTTTGGATGGACCCACCTACGGCACCAAACATGCAAAAATGTTCTATATAAACCTCTTTCAACGTCTCACAGTACAAACAGACAGTGAACATAATCCTCCCAAAAAGACATTGTGCCTCAGAAAACCACAAAAATAAAAGATGAATTGCTTGAGAACTATTGCTCTTTCACTCTCTCTGTTTCTTGTGGGATTGGTCGGACCAGTCCAAGCTCAATTGCAAATGAACTTCTATGCCAATACTTGTCCCAACGCCGAAAAGATTGTTCAAGATTTTGTTTCGAACCATATTTCTAGTGCTCCTTCTCTTGCGGCTGCCCTCTTGAGAATGCATTTCCACGACTGTTTTGTCAGGGTAAGCTCTTTTTTTGTGCTATCACTTATTCCTTTTTGTTTTTGTTTAATCATCAGATGTATTGTGGAGCATTCTTATTAACGAGGGATATATACATACATGTAGGGTTGTGATGGATCAGTGCTTATTAACTCGACGTCAGGAAATGCAGAGAGGGACTCAACTCCTAACTTAACGGTTAGAGGGTTTGGCTTCATCGACGCAATCAAAGCTGTGCTTGAAGCTCAATGTCCTGGGATAGTCTCTTGCGCTGATATCATCGCTCTTGCATCTCGAGACGCCGTCGTTTTCACCGTAAGCATTATATAATAAGATTCACTTGGTAAATTACAAGTTTTAGTATATCTCATCATAAATTAATTTGGTGTGTTGAAGGGAGGACCAAACTGGAGTGTCCCGACCGGAAGAAGAGACGGGAGGATATCGAACGCATCAGAGGCATTAGCCAACATTCCTCCTCCGACCAGTAACTTCACCAATCTTCAGACACTCTTTGCAAACCAAGGGCTTGATCTTAAGGACCTTGTCTTACTCTCCGGTAAACCCTTAAACCCCACATCACACATTGCTAAGAACTAGGGTTGGAACGTTTCAAAAATAAATAGATGTTAAAACATTTAAACCTACGTTGCAAGAATCTCATCATAGATGTGTTGTGTTATATATAACAGGGGCTCACACGATTGGTGTATCTCACTGCTCGTCTTTCACAACCCGTCTCTACAATTTCACGGGTCGTGGAGACCAAGATCCGGCCTTGGACAGCGAATACGCAGCCAATCTCAAGTCAAGAAAATGTCCTAGCCTCAACGACAACACGACCATCGTGGAGATGGATCCAGGGAGCCGTAAAACGTTTGATCTTAGTTATTACCAGCTCCTTGTCAAGCGTAGAGGTCTGTTTCAATCAGACTCTGCTCTAACCACTAACCCCACAACGCTCTCAAACATAAACCAGATCTTGAAGGGTTCCGTGGAAAATTTCTTCTCTGAGTTTGCCAAGTCGATGGAGAAAATGGGTCGGATCAATGTGAAGACTGGGTCAGCAGGAGTGGTTAGAAGGCAATGCTCCGTTGCAAATAGTTAAGGGGTGAAAATGTAAAAGTATGTGGGAGTCTTGGGGGTATGTGTGAAAAGAATAAATTAAGATGGTGACTGTGATGTGACCGTTTGGGATTTGTGTGTATGGATTTGGTTACAGACTTCGTCAATAAAGAAACAAAAATACAGTAGCTTTTTGTTATATGTGATTTGTCTTGTACGAATCATGACAGTTTAGTTGGTTTGAGTACATTGCCCATTTCGTCGATAAGAGTTATCTGCAAACGAGCGGATCCGAAAGCCTTGAAGAGATCACCATGATATATATTTTTATTATTGATACATTTGACTGTTTAAAAGAAAAATACCGAAAACAAAAAAAAAACTTTATTATATTATCACGAAAAAGTTCATCAATACAAAAGTAAAAAAGAAAAGAAAAGAAAAGAGTAAAAAGTTATTTGAGTTTGTATCATTCCTTTGTATGGCTCAGCAGAATGAAGAGAAAAACTGTGCCCCATCACAATCTTTTTCACCTTCTTCTTGCAAGAAATATACCCGAAACTATCGCTGTCCCTGCAACTGCAATCGCCACCGTTGATAGTATCCTCTTCACTGTAAACACTGACTCGTCGCTCGGTATCTCCATCAGATCTATCATCTGCAAATTCCATCAAAATGAAATAAATAAACCCACGATCTAAAAACAAGATGAGTCCTTAACTCAGAGATTGCTTTACGACAAGGATTCACTACAACAAACCGTTATAGGTTGCTTCCAATTCTTCTTGATCCCATTAATATGCCCTCTTCCGATAACTGCCACAACCGAACTGTGCTCACTAGCAACTCTCAGCAAAGTCGACGCCATGTACCTGCGAATTTCACCATCAATCAATCAGTCTTATTTGTATTTGCCAATACCAACATTTCTATTTCAGTTTTCAGATGATAGATCATATGATAAGCAAAGTTTAACACGGTACATAGAGAGGGATTAGAGAACACTAACTGGTCTCGCTCATGCACAAGTGTATCCATGAGAGATGGAAACTCCTTGCTCATTTCTTGAATCACCAAAGTCACCATATCCACATTGTCCAGTTCTTTCAGCTGAAGCGATCCAATTTACAATCGATAGATGCGTAGAATCAAGATTCACTAGCTATAACGAATCACATTAAATCACAAGTGCAGAATTGTGTAACACAGTAAGACTTACCATTTTGTTGAGTTCTTCAGGGCTCGGCACGAAGACAGCTTGAAACAAGAAGGAGTATACCAACTTTATTTTTTGCCGTAGAGGTAACTTCGCCCATGTTCTTTTCACAGTGATCTGCTTCGGAAAAAATATTGAAATCAAATGAGTATACACCAGAAGATTCAACTCCATGTTATAAGATACATACTAACATTACTAAAAGAATGCTTTGAAACTGTGGATTTAACAACACATCACCTGTACAGGACGATCACCAAGTATCACCTTGCCGCCATATTTAAGGGCCTCTTCATATGCCACACGAAACTCAGAACCAGGAAAAACCTCAAGCTGACTGGCGATCTAACAGAAGGGAAGGATGTAAATTTTTCGTTCGAATAGTTAAGCTTCCATCATATAAATATCAGCCACTTGATTAATGAAACTTGCCTTTGCAAGAAACCATCCATAAAGTATTCCGAATGTATTCTGTTTCTGCTTCCAACTTTCTATCATGTCCGACATGGTTGGAACCTAGAAAAGCAAAGCATAGTACCATTTCAAAATAAGCAAAAGGGAGCCAGAATCGTGTATAAGTATATTGGATTAGTGATATATAATCAACAAAGCATAGCATACAAAGGAAAGTGAAGTAAAATCACGGGTCGTGAAAAGCAAACCTTCAGAGTCTGAGGTTTGAGAAGAGACAATCGGCTTGAACACAACTCCACGAAGACAACCTGTAAATATCAGTCACTTGCTTAGACCCCCGCATAGACATAAAGATATCAAACTTGAGTTACCGGTGAACATTTAAAGAGAAGAACCTCTGGTTTCAAGATGCTGACTATTGCTTCAACCTCTCGACACGATTCCTGTAGCAAAAATTACAACGAGATACACGATTATCCCATGATAATTGATCGAATGATATTCTATCACAGATCAGATCAAAAACAAAGAGCTAGGCGTTTTTTTCTGGCCTATACAAGTAAACAAACAAACAAAAACATTATCCAGGCTAAAAGAGAAGCTGCAACAAACGGAAAAGGGGAGGAGGATAACAGATCCTATGGATTCTGAAACATTTCACTGAAATCAAAACCTGAGATCAAGTTCTAACCCATCCCAAATCTCCAAAACCATATCTTCTTTAGCCATTTTCAAGAAGCTGGGGATTTCTTACTAAATCCTCTTAACCCTAGCTCTATTTTCGGAAACTCTTCTGCCACAACCATTAACGCGGTCCCAACATTTACACCCTCAATAGACATGTGAGCAAAAGCTTTGATAGCTTTTTCAGAATTTGACATGCAATTCAACTTCCTCCAAAGATTACAAGAACGATAAATCAGCAATCCCTGAATCCGAGTTTAATTCCAATACAGCTTCTCCGAAAATTAAAATTACCTTTGATACATGAGCAGTGCCGATCAAATAGACATCGCAAGATCCGCCTTCTACTGTGGACTCGCACGTCAGAATCACAACGCTTTTCGTCAATTCCTCCGGCAGCTCAACTTTCTTCGTCTCCGATGAGCACTCGCCATCATCCGTTTCAGCGCCGATTCCATCGCCGTCACCACCAGCTGAAGCGCCGCCGCTAACCACGGAATCGGAGTCTTTATAATCTTCCTCCGCCTCCGCCTCGTCCAGCAGGTCCTCCTTCTCCACATTCACTATGCTGTCGCTTAACGACATACCGCCGGTGGGCCTGGAGTCTTCGATGTGAACGAAGTCCTCGCCAGAGTGAACATCCGGCTCTGGCTCCGACGGCGATTGCGATTGCGTCGTCGGCTCCATCGACATCAAATCGAGGAGGTACGGTCAATTTCGAGGATCTCGGAGGGCGAGAATATAGATTGGGATCACGCAATGGTTACCACCATTGAAAGAAGGCAAGTCTAATACCTGAGCTAAGGAAACGCTTATAGTATAACTCTTTTTTCTATTATTACTTTCATTTACTTAATTAAATCTTAAATACTAACATTAATCATTTAATTTCCAGTAACGCTTTAACCGGTAAACCGGACTTGTATTAGTTCCGCGTCAATACGGTCACATTTAAAATTTGTTTTCGCTTTCTCTTTCGGCTCATTTTTATTCATGTAACCTTTCTCTCAAAATCTCAATGTAGCCTTTCCAAGAAATGCATTTCCGGTTATTTTATTAAATTAATGGTTTATCTTCGTGTCCGGTTAGTCTAAAGTCGTGCCGGTTTCACTTTGCTTATTAATGGCGCCAACAGTCACTTAAGGTGGCCAAAAATCGCCGGGGATTGAAGAAAAGAATCTTTCACTCGCGACTAGTCATGGAGACATCGAGGCTGCTTCTCATTGTATCCTTTTCCATCAACGTTTTTTTCTGTTAATTATTAAATGATTCAACCAATGGTTTATGGTCACTAAACCGTGTTTGGTTTTATTTTGCTTTACACACCAACGATTGGTTAAGAAATAGCTATAGAATAACTTAAGTAATTATGGTTAAGAATGTACTGATATAAAACAACAACAAAAACTATTTTGTGATTATTGAGCTAAAAGACGGCAAAGTATGTAATACAAATGGAAAACCCTTTTTTGTAAGAGTTTATCAAGTCAGGGATCAAGTGTATCTTATATTACAAGCAAACTGTGTTAATAATCGTAAGCGAAGCTGGATTTTAACGAAGAAAGCAGACATGTTTTTCAAAAGACGAATATTATATATGCGTTGACATTATTACTATGTGACTATTTACACATACACAAGCAACTGATAAAAGACGAAACTAGTGTGTCTAGAAACAAAAAAAAAAATGAGAGAGATATAGAGATAGAGAATAATCACAACATGAACATATGAATATACATACTCATGATGTATTTGTTAAATTAATGTCAGATTATAGCATTAAGAATGTGAGTTCGAGTGTACAGAATACAAAAAATTGCAAACAAAATTACAACTTGCAAAACAGAAACCACTCAAATAGATACCATAAAATAAATACAATTACAAAATACTTGAAGAATAGTAAATTCCATTTTTTTTTTTAGTCTACAAAACATAGAGATAGAGGGAGGGGTAATTAGTTTGGGTTTTGAGATCTCGCTTTTGGTGTTTTGTGATTTGGTTTGTGTGACGTGTTAGTTGTGTAGGTTTTTGTTTGAGATAATTATGGTTTTTGATGTTGGGATTTGTGTTTGTTTGTGATAATGATTTGTGATTTTAAAGTTTTTGGTTTAAAGTGTTTGTGTGTTGTGATTATGGTTTTGAGTATTTTCGATTATTTTCCCACGAACTTCCTCTGTATTGAATCTAAGGTTAAGCCTGCACAAGAAAAACATCTGGTTAGCCAAAAAAAAGGAGTTGCACGATTCTCATGTTTCCACCTGAAGACGATAGTCTCTTCTGCGACATAAAGATTCCATAGCCCTCCAGCAGCTTCCTCAGCCACAAGTTTGTTTAACGAAGATAAGCAACCTGAAGCCCTACAACATAATAACCAAATACCTAAGTCTGAACTTCTCATTCACCTGATCTACACTCTTGGCTATGAAATCAAACTAACTAAGTCAATTCAGGAAATACCCGAAGCAAGTGGCTTTTGTTAGATTCTGCTTCTCCCCTTAGTTTTTCCATCTCTTCTCTCGGCATCTCTTAGCTTTCTCAGCTTTAACATGAAACAATAAAAGACAACAACAAGTTTGGGTTAGATCCAAAGTTTCGTTCTACTATTTCTAATAGAATTATCATTTAGATTCCTAATAAGAAACTGATCGATCTACATTAGTTGTAGAAACAAATTAAACATATGTAATCTCTCACGATCAAATGAATGACTGGATACCATGTCAGTTAAGTTTTTACAACTAATATAAATCTAATCTGGTTTCTTATAAACTAATTCACGTTTTAATGAAATAAAAAACCAAAGAGAAGAGACACATATCTTTGATGGCACATTTATCTGTTGCGACCATTTTGTTCCTGCTTGAGCTGAAAATTTAATTACGACATGTCATGGAGATATATTTAAGTTCACAAAATGGCTAACCATGAGAAAGAAATCCGCAAATTCCAATTAAACAGCAGCGTTTACTTAAATTTAGAGATCTTACCTTATCCATCCTCGATAGATATGATCAGATTCAGGGTCATCAAGGTAAAAGTTGTCTGAACCTGAAAATAAAACGAGATAGTGCGTGAGAAAAGCCTGCTCTTTATACACATATCACAATGTAAAATCCGAGGAAAACGACTTACCAGAGATGATCATCTTGATAATCAGCAGATGATTTTTGTCCATCGCTATGAGGCTCTGACTTGTAACTCTTCTCTTCTTGGGAAGCTCGGGTAAGCAGCTTGCTTTTTGATGTTCTACTTGAATGGGCAGAGTTCTCAGGTTGGGCAACATTCTCACGAGCTGACACCTGGATAATTGTTACCAATATCACTGATACAAAGATGATAAAAATTTACCAGCCTTTGAAGTTCCAAGTGAAAACAAAACGAAAACTAACCTGAAGCTGGCAAATGTATCACCAATTTCATATCTATAAGCCCAGAAGTCAGTGTATGATCAACTACAAAACCATTCTCCTTCGTTTCAAAAGGCCGTTTTTGGTAAAAAGATCCACTTGGCTCCCATTCTAGACTGTATCCAACGTGACTTGAGCATAAATCACCTGCGGAATACAAACTCATATAACAGAGCTGAATTGGGATGAATCTTAGTTTCCATAAAACAATACAGATACTGCTTGTTTACCTTGTTACGGTGATAGCTTGCCAAGAGAGCAGCACGAAACGCGCTATGTGTGTTTGAGAAGCTGGATAGGGATCAAGCATCGCGCAGTAACGAAAAGGCCTGAGATAAAGTAAAGTATTGTAATTTATTCATTCAGACCTTTGGTAAAGAGCTACAAGTGTTCCAAGCAACGAAGGATTAAACGAGGCTATCTTGTCTTCAATTGACTATCTTGGGGTTTCATTGTCCTACAAATGAGCGTTTATATGTTTCTATACAGAGTTTTACCACAATATTTACGGAACAAGATCATTCAAAAGTTTTGTGTAAGCGACCTAGAAACGAAGTTATACACCATTTGTTTCAAGCAATTCCTAGAAAAGCAGCAAGAGCAAGAAAAAAAATAATCAAAAGAGATTGATTCACACCTCTTCAAAGCGAGCTTCTTTGAATGCTTGGTTTTATCCCTTCTCTGGAAGTTGAAAAACTTGATTGTGTATGTCTAAAGCTTAACGAATTGTCAGCTTCACTGACCTGGAAAAATCAAGGACAAAATTCAACATTGATCAAACATTTGAACAACCCTAAAGGCAAATAGTGAACCTAACAATCCGAACTAAGAGCAAATTGCTAAATTTGAGAGAACTCACCAGACCATAGTTTTCGAATTGATCTAAATCGGAGAAAGTGACTGCTGGAATATATCTTGGGAATTCCCAAAATATAGTCAAGTCACGTTTTAATTCCCAAAATCCTGTTATAAAAGTAAAATTGCAAAATAGCATTCCTAAAATTTACTATATTTTAAGTGAAAACAATATATATTTCCTAAGATTGTAACTGCCGGTGAATATATCAAAAATATAGTTAACTACAAATCTCAAAAAGTGAAAGGCAACAAGCCCAATCAAGAACTTAATATTTTAGTATACAAGATTAGATAACTAAAACGTAAAAAGTAATTTGCAACAGTATGACAATATTAGTTACGTTGCTTCTATGGATGAATATAGATGAACTCATCCTCCTTGCACTCTCGAATTCCGATTTCCATTATATTTCCACCAGTGGAAGATGTAGGTAAAATATCACAGCACTGTCTTCTGGGAGCATTCAACTACCACAATTCAACAAATTATTTTAGTTAAGATAAATAAAACTTAAAATAGATTGAAAAGGTAAGATTTTCACGAAATAATACTTTTACTGTGTTGTTTTTAAAAGTTGAGCACATTTTTCGTTTGATTTTCACTTTTAAAATGAAAAAGTTCACTCAAAAACATAATACCTATCTTATAGTAAAAAGAAGAATAGTTATAAGAAAAAAACAAACTATAGTAATTGACATTTCAACAAAGAATTACTAATTTCGGGAAAGAGTTATTTGTCTAATATCGGGATATAGAGTTCAATAAAAAATGCAAAAAAAAAAGAAAGAAGAGAAAAGGTAGATAGAAGAGTTACTTGTCTAATATCGGGATCGAATCTTCTTGAAAACACTCTAATCTCTTGGATTTTGCGAGGCGATGAAATGGGATCGTACGTGCAATTCTCGTAAGCTTGCTTATACACACTTTTAATAGTTCCATCATCTCTCGTAGAAGAAACATGTTCCATGAAGAAAGTGACCGGTCTTTGGCAAGGATCAGGATGAATCTCTCTTGTGTTGAATGTGTACACACTTGACAACTCGCCGGATCGTTTCCATGCCCGGAACGTTTCTTGTGTTCGCAAAACATCCGGTAGAAACAAATGCCTACCCTCAATCTAACATTTGAAGCCAAAACAAATGAAAAACATTAAGTTACTACAATCATGCAAAACCATGTACCTACTTAGGACTTGACATTTTAACCGAACCAAAAAATCAAACTAGAAGAAAATAAACTCAAATGAACCGGAAGAAGAAAAAAATGACAAAACGATAGTATATATTCACCTGAACAGTATAGCCCCAAGAGACAGAGATGGTCCAAGAATACCACCGGTCGTAGCAAACGGAGAGTTGAAATATACGGAGAGGATCAAGTTCTACGGCGGAGAAGAGGTGGTGGACGGCGGAGAATGTGGTTGAGTTTGGGAAAATGGGGTCAATGTGGGCCATGTGGTGTAGAGACACCAACGGTTTCGTTGAATGTGACGTCAATATTCCCAATGCATTTCCTCTCACATCAAACTGCTTAAGAAACAATAAACAAAAATTTAATCAATTTTTTGGAAGAAATTAGTAGATCTTTTTTTTTTAAACTGAATACTTTTAAAACCTGATGGAAGCCAGGCTCATGAGTTAATCCAACTCCAAGCTCAAGAACACAAGCATGAATCCTGGAGTCTCCTCCGTACAAATGTGGATAACGTTCGATACAAGAATCGAAGTTCTTAGCTAAAACGTTAGCCAACGAGCTGCTTAAAGCGTACCCTCCACCGCCAAACGCCATGTCGTGTCCAAATATCGAGTTTTGGTGATAGATCTCTGAGTTTGCTCCTATGTAATACCATGATGTGTGGTCGTATTTGGAGAGCGTTCGAGCGAGGTTCTCTGGAATGAATATTGTGTCGTCGTCTCCAAATACATACCACCTTACTTCCTCGGAGGAGGTGTTGAACATCCTTACGGTTTCTAAAACGCACCGTGCGATTCGAATCGCGTTTCTGTTACCGCCTTTCCAAGTGTACCTGTAGTTTAGAAGCATGCATGATCAATAACACTTTGTAGATTTTATAAATGCTAGCTCTAGTTGAATCTCTGTCAAGTCGGAATTTTCTATGATATATTTCTATATTATTATTTGTCTGTGGCTATTTATTATCTATCGTTTAAGATTTATTAAAATATTAGATTTTAATTAACAAATTTGTACAATTTTACAATTAATTTTAGAATTACAAAATTGCAGAAATAATTCCCACTGTTTGACTAAAATGACACATTTACCCAAAAAGTATATAGAAATAAATGCCAAGTATAATCAAGTTATTAAGAAGTGTTATATGATTTTTTCGAAAAATAATTATTAATCTGATTATTATATTTTTACGAAAAAAAAACAGTTATATCACTCATAAAAAAAAGTAGAATCTTGTACTTTGTTGGCAAAAGATCAGTTCTTTTAGTACTGCTAAAGTTATAGACGTAAGACGTAAGACATTAATTAAAATAATAACGCCACGAAATCTTCCTTCTTTTAAATCTCTTGAAGCAAAACTACTAAATTCGTAAGGGAACGATTAACTTCAAGATAAATACAGAATCAGATTTAATTAACCCAATTGATTTAATTGATGATGAAATTAGAGCTGAACTTAGTTACCTGAACCTGGAAGTATCTTGGGAAACACAAACCGGAGGAAGATGATAAGTATCTGTGTGGTTCTCAGACGACGACAATGGCTGCTCAACAAAGACGCAGCCTCTCATCCTCTGAGCATCCCACCAAAGCTTGACGTATTCTCTACGCGCAGGCCACGAGTTCTTGCTCGAGCCGATCCCAAAAACGATGTGATCGATCTTTGTTAGGCTAACTTGAGATCGATCTTGTGAAGATGAGAAGTAGGCTTTAATAGTGTCGTTAGATTGAAGCCTTGAGACCGGAACCGAGACGATAAGGTAGACCAAGAAAATCAAAACAAAAAGTAGTATGCAATTTATCGTACGGGTCGAAGTAGTGAAAGAAGAAGAAGAGGAAGAATGGGTTTTCGATACGTGTCGAAACAGACACATTTCTATATATGAGGAAGGCTAAATTTTGGTATATGACTTTTATATATAAATAAATGAACGGAAAGATCCCAAAATGTATTGTATCTGACAGACGGTGATTATACCAAAGTGGTGGTCACGGTGGCTATAGGCGGTGTTACCGGCGGCGGAAGAGGAAGTTTGATCATAGGGAGAGTAATGGAGTAATTAATGTGAAATGGTTTTTAATGTAAGGAATTAATGTGGCCTAACTATTTAATACCACTATCTCTCAAGTTGTGATTAGGCACGGAAGCTAAGGCGTAGACAAAGAAAAAACTTATTAGATTATTTGTATTGTTTCCTTAATATAGAAATTTTAATAGTGTGGGAGTCTTTTTGGACTCGTACGTTTTGTTTCTCCACTTTATATTTTCTCTCAATTTGTCCAGCATAACTTGAGATGTTTATATTCTTAGTAGTGAATTACTCGACCTATCCCAAATTAATCTCGATAAATTTAGTTGCTAATACAAATTTTTAAGATTGTGATTGTGAAGATATGTGTATTTTAAAAAAATTATTACATTTTTAGTAAAATGCGTAAGTACTAGATCTCGTTCCTAGTTTTATTTTGGGTCAATTTTAATATTACAGATCGGACTAGTACAATAGAGGCTTCGTTTTGATTTGTTCTTATTGTGTGTGTGTGTGTTTGACGGGGCAATATTATAAATGCTATTGAAAAGAAACGAAACAAGCAACGTTCAGTAACGTAAATGTTGCTGCCCTCAACATGTGCAATGTCACAAGATTCGAGCCATAGGGTATATATATTTTAATTTTTATATTACTCCCTCCGTTTTTTAATGTATAATTTTTTAGATTTTTCACAAATTTTAAGAAGCAATCATTAATTATTTTTTTTAATTATTTTTTCATTTTAATATTTTTTTATATTAGTTATTTTAATGTATATTTTCTCTTTCCAAAAATAAAATGTTCTCAAAAAAAGAAATAGATTATATATAATCCAAAAAATCAAACTTTGTGGAGCAAATTTTTGTTTTAAAACATCAAACTTTCTGAAACGGAGGGAGTATATTTTACATTGGCACTGAACGTTTTGACTGGGTCATCGCTTTTTCTGAATTAAAAAGACACTGGAGAACATTTATTTTACTATTTCAGTGATGCTAGAAAGAAAACAAAAGCAAGGTAAACAAATGTTTTCGTTATTTGAAAAAAAAGGGGTTCTCTTCCTAGAATCAAAATGTATGTAAATATCTCTCCAACGTTGTATAGTCATTATTATTTTATAATAAAAAAAAATCTTAAAAATATAAAAACCCTTAAAACATGTGTATATTATTTCTAGAAGAAAAAAAATCTCTTGAATCGAATCCGAGAACAATATAGAGTTTTTGACCGCTCTGTGAAATTTTGAAAGTCTCAAGCGTGTGCTACAACAAAGCCTCGGCAAAAATGAAATTCCAAAATATCATGGAACCATAACGATGATGATCATATGATGGCAACCATATTTTTTTTATTAGGTCATGGTTTTATTAGTCTCTTTGTTAATATTATTAGCTCGTGGGTCATAATCATATTCTGCACCAGCTTTCGTAAATCTTCCTTTCATTCGTCTCTTCGTATCAGCTGTAGATTTTCGAGATTCATATCTAATTTGCTTCCCAAACCTGCATTTGTCATAACATTGAGATTGTAAGTATACGTATATGCACTTTCATAGATTTATCTATACGCAAAATTTGAATATTTTGTGAGATATAATAATAACAATACCTACTTGCGTTTCTTCTTCTTTGCGAAATATCTCTCCACCGCCTCTAGTCGTGCTTGCGGAGTATATACGTGAGATGCATGTGTTTGATCCTCCCATGGTAACATCTCGTCAGTCAGAATCAACTGCGATGGTCCACGATCAAGTTGAACAAGAGCGTTATTAGGGTATATTCCAACATTATTATTGGTCTCTTCTTCTGCCTTTGAGCCAATCATTTGATTCTTATTGTAATCTTCATAACTTGCATTGGCCAAAACTTCAAAGTTGTAACACTTATGTATAACCGACGACATACATGACAATGAAGATGATAGAATCTATACCAAACAAATAAAATAATAAGTCAGCCATTAGAGATAACCGAAACATCAATAAGCTACAGATTTTAATTTTGATGTTTGTTAATACCTCGGTCGTGGTCTCTGCATTGTGTTTCAGTTTTTCATCGATTGGTTGATCGGTTAGGATCAATTCTTCCCTGGTGAAATATTCTTTGAGGTTTAATACTGCCTCGTCGTCAAAATCATTCAGCAAAACATTCTCTATATCTTTAGTATCGTAACAATTGAAGCCTGAACATGAACTATCCTGCGTAACGTGACACACAAGACACATCGAATCGAAATAAGAACACAAATTTACCGTCAAAATAATAAGATCACACATTATAAATATAATTAAGTAATAAACCTTAAGAATGTCCAAATAATCGGGCTGTAGCATTTGCACTTGTTGATCACTATTCTTTGTATGATTATCAAAAATTTGAAAAATTGAAGAAGATGATGATAAGTCCCCATTAGTGGGAGGTAATGAAACAAAGGGAAATCCCCAATTGAGATTTATGAAAGAAGATAAAGAAGACGAGGAAGAGGAATCAAGATCAAAATCTGGTGGACAAGTATAACCCGAAATGTAATTAAGATCGTTACAAAGAACAAAACGTGAGGTGACATTGGCGTTTGAAACGCATGTTTGGCATAGGGACAATCCTTGGTCAAGGCATCGAAAAACAGCGGTCTGCGAAACGCAATTGTTGCACAACAGAAACCGCGAGTGATCGGGACTATCCACAGTCATGGAGTGTAACGTCCAGTCACATTGGAGACAAACCCTAGCCACATGAGTCTTACAATAAACAATGGCTCTTCCCATATTGCAATGATCGCACATTGGTGCTCCCATTGTTTGCATTTTGTTTTTAAAAAAATAAGAATACGAACAACTTTTTTTATTATTAATTTGATTTTCTGATCGTGCTATTCACAAATCAACGAAAAGAAACACGGTACATAGGCTTTTAGTTTCCCAGCGTGTGTTTCTTAATTTATAGTTAACGTGCTCAGGATCGTACTAAGGGTTATTTTAACACGTGTTAAAAGTGGATGATGTAGTACATAGCATGTAGATCGGCATATCAGTTTGCTTGTGAAGGTTTTTGGGTGGCAGATAAGGTAATTAAGGATGCAGTGATGGCTCTTTTTGGACGAATACAATGGAGACAGGTGACGAAAAAACCGAATCTATCAGCGACAATTTCGATTTTTCAAGTTTAGAATAAGATTTGTTATAAGGATCTTAACTTTTCCAATCTAAATACTATTCAAACAAAGATTTCACAGTTGTGATGTATATTTTTTTGTTCGCTCTCCACTATTGCATACTAAATTGAAAAGAAATATACTGTCATTTGAAACTTTCATTTAAGCCAATCAATCATCTACCAGTTGTTTTTGAAGTTTGCCAAAAAATGATTACGTGTCGTAACATTCATTCTCACTTTTTAAAAGATTGACATTTTTTTTGTAAGATCTACATGTTACTGAAGAATATTCAATTATGCAACACAAGTAATACTTTTGTTGAATTCCATTCATTATATATATAAAATAAAATTTATATTATAGTTTTCATTTTTTTAGAAATAAGTAGTAGTTACAAATAAATAAAAAATATTTTTATCTCTTAATTTATGAAATAACAGTTGATTTAAACCGAGCCCGATCTAAACCTAACCAAACTGCTTGCACAACAACAACAAAATGTCAAAAACCCAAATGACATTTTCACTAACAACAACTCTTTTTAGTGATCACATGGGATAGGTAGAAAAGGAAAGAGACAATGGCATGAAGGAAACACAATTTGCCTCCGAAAGAGAGAATATGTCGGTTTGTGAATCCACATTTTGATCTTGACTCTCGGTTCGACCATACCCCCATCGTAAGAGCCCCTGCTGCCACAATTCCTACGATCCTGTTCTCCATCATCATCCGATCCACAAATAGCACGTACATGTCAATTTTTTTGTATAACAAAATTGCAATCTATAGTATTATATAACAAACGTTACTGAGTTGGATATGCTATCAAAATCTGAATCTTGGAACAACTATGCAATGATTATGACATCTATTTTGACTTTTAAGAGTATTAATATTTCATTACGAAGTGAGGCCAAGGCAGGCTAGGTTGAAGTATCCAGTGATCTTAGGTACGCCGGAAAGTGCTCTGACTATACTGGAGATACTGCATCCGATCAAATTGGCAATGATATGAGCTGCTACCAAACACGCTAATGCTGCTATCCCTAACTGGAAAGCTTTTTGGCTTGGAGCTTTACACTCGAGAAGCCACACCCTCACGTGCTTCCCCTGTATCATGGACATAACAAAAACGCAACCATGATCATCATCATCATTTATTTTGCTATATGATATAAATATTTGAAAACAAAAAGTATATACCTCTCGTTGGGCGGCTTCGGCTTGCAATCCCACGAAACCGGCAACGATATCTAATCCCACGACCAAAATAATACAAAGAACTATTACAATACTAAAGCATGATCCTTTCTTCTTTTCTTTTTCCCCCTCTACCATTTTCTGTTGTCAGCAAAATTTTATCTTGAATTCGCTTTGGAACCCAAGAAGATTATAGACCGGATTCTATGTTGTAATTTAGAGTATTGTGTGAAGAGTTGTAAGGTGGTAGTCCTTTTATGAGCAAATTGGACTAATTATAAAGACTGGACTTGGCTTAGATTTTAGCTAACGTGGAAGTTGGCTTTGAGTGAGTAATTTTGTTCATTCCTATCTATATATTATTACTAGTTAAATAAAAATGTATTTTTTTCCATTGCTAAGTGAAGACCACAAGATTCATGACCTACTTATGGCAACACAAAAGTAATAGAGTGTTCTATAAACCAACCAGTTTTTAATATAGCTTGGTTACAGTTAAAGTGTCGATTTTGTTTAATGGTATGATGACATGTGGGTAATTTTGAGTTAAAAGAGTCTTCTACATGTCTACATGTATCTAATAATACTTGCCCAATATCATTATATATAAATTGGATTATAAATAAAAAGATATAATAAAGTAAAGTTTTTTTATAAAATTAAGATCTACTAGACAATGCTTATGGAAAATATAATTATAATGAATCAATCCAAAAATCATGTTTAATTTTTTGTATTAGATTTATTATTGGTTAGTGTTTATCTCTTTTTTTATAAAAAAATGAACCACATATTTTTCAACATAAAATAATAATAAAAATATCTGTCAATACAAGAATGTTATGAACTCATACAATTAACTTTAATTAATTTAATAATTAGAAATTGTTTTCTGTTAAATAATAATTAAAATTGTTAGATATTTCATTAATAAAAAAGCATCTGTTACGATAAATATTAGAGTGATCTGGTTTGTGTGTTTAAACTGTTTTGAAAATCCATGTACAGTAGAACTTTTATAAATTAATACTCGATAAATTAATAATCACTATAAATTAATAATTTTTGTCGGTCTCAAATCGGATCAGTGTAATTATTAACAAATTTCGATAAGATAATAAGATAATAATTTTTTTGAAACTCATATGTAAAAATATAATCCCAATAATTATATAAATTAATAATTATACATTTAAGCATATATAAATAATATAATATAGTAAAATATAATTATATTATTGTTTCAAGTTTATAAAAATTATTTGACTTATTTTTCAAATTCACTGATATGATATTTTCTGAATAAATTTTATATTATTGGAAATATTTTTTTGTTTTTTGACAAATATTTTGAATTTAAACTAAAATATCTCTCTATAAATTAATAAAATATTAGTTTTGAATCAATGATTCTACATACAGTAAAACTTTTATAAATTAATTTACCGATGAATTAATAACTCTATAAATTAACAAATTTTTGAAATCCCAATATTATTAATTTATAAAAATTTTACTGTATGTAGAATCATTGATTTTAATGCCAAAGAAGTGGATATTAAAGCATACATGTGGGATGTTTCTATAATATCTTAGAACATACGCTTTTGTATAAGTCATAAGATTAGGTTTAATGTTCCTTGTCAGAATTGAAGAACAAGACATTCAGCTTGACATGATTTTTACTGTGTACATAGTACTTTTACCAAAGTAAATTCACTATTGAGTATATATATCAGACAGTTAATCTGAGATTGTTTATTAATTTTTTTAGTTTGAGGGCACACACTTATACAATGGAAAAGGTTAATTTGACGATATTTAAAGACTTAAAGTTATCTCTTAAAGTTAAATAAATACAACACTAATATGAACTTCATTACATGAACGGAGAAGAAACAAATCCTGGCGATGCCGGACGATATGTTATTGTGTTTCTCCTGCATTCAAACAAAAATTAATTAATGTTTCCCCCTAATTATAAACAAATATAAATAAAAATATTTGATATTTATGTAATTTATTAAAATATCGGCAGTAGACTAACTTGTTCTTTCAAAGTAATCATATTCGACTAAGATACAAATTGTTTTTAAAATTTGACTTTTTAATGACTTTTTTAAAAAAAAAAAATCATCAATTTACCATGCTTTCTTCAGAGTCGTTTCTCTGCGGGCGAACGACGCCGTTTTGATGTCTACAGATTTTTCTAGCGAGGCATTAGTCATTCGACGTTCCCTCTCTCCGGCGGAGACGGTAGATGCATCTTCCGAAATGGCAGAAAGAGACGGCTGCCACCGCCGGGTTCCGTCGATCCTCCTCAGCTCCGAACTAAGCGGCGCGTGGCTACGATTTACACTTGGAGAGATCGTCGTCATACGCGCGTGCTGATCAGTCGATGTGGAAGATGAAACCTCTCCATCTGCTGGAGATGAGCGATAACACTGACGAATTAGACAGGAAAACATTTTTTTTTTCAAACGAGAGAGACTTCTTTACATAACACACGTATATAATTCGTAGGTGTAAATTGTAATTTCGAAACTGAATAAAAAAAATTAATGGTAATTAAAGTGCTGAGGATTATTTGCTAAATTTCCATTCATTTCCATTACGAATAATCTCTATCAAAACAGATAAAACGTTTCAGATTTGGCTGAGTTCATCTCTTTTATCTAAACTCTTTATCTTGTGTACGTGTGTCTAACTTTATCCTCTGTCATTTCCAAAACATACTATTCTATTTTTGCAACAAATATTATGCGATTAAAACAGATAATGATTCCTTTTTGTAGTTTATCCATGGTAACTAATTTATAGCTATATCACCAAATCACCAACATTATAGGGCTTAAAATTAAATAAGAAAACATATCTACCTTTACCTTTTTAATTTAAATTTTATCTTAAGGTTTTTCCCCCATATGTTAAAAATATTTATTTTTGTCATAAGACCTTTTGTTAATATCCTTTATAACTTTCTCTTTATAATTTCTGTATACAAATCTACATTAATTAAAACAACAATTTTGGGTGAAACAAAGTAAAAATTCTAAACCAGTATTTATTAAGAAACATCATCTCGTCGTATTAACAAAACTATAAGCGTAATCGTGGGCCATTTTAGGCCCATTTAGCTAAGAGTGACATAACGCCGGCGCCGGCAAGAAGAGAGATATGGGCCATGATTTGAAGCCTAGTGTTTGATTGCATTTTGGGGTGCATAAAATCTGCTGCAAGAAAGTCCACCAGAGACATGTAGATGAGGATGCCTGCAGATGCAGCGTTAAGGACTCCTTGCACTATCAGAGCCGTTGGACTCGACTCATCATAAGATGTTGCAATTCCCATTCCGACCGCAATTCCGATAGGTGTTGTTATCGAGAAGAAGAGTGACATTATTGTAATTGACATACAGTTGAAATTTCCCTGCAAATAGTATATGAGATTATTATTAGTGATTTGATCAACCAAATGATTTTGGCATGTATGTTTGCTAGTTTCATGAATTAATTTTCTATGAAGTTAAGTTTAGATTTTGTTTATACTGTTATTTCTCTAGGTGTTCTGGTCAAATTTTTGTAATTGTTTTTGTACTTTACTGATGATATATAAATATGATAGTTAAGTGAAAAAAAGTCAAATGTGTGTAACAAAGAGTTAAAAGAGATAAAGCAATCATGCACTGTTTGACATTTGCAAGTTGAGAAGAGTCAAAGAAAGCCGCAAGAATGGACGACACACAATAATAAGAATAACATTTTACCTAAAATTCAACAGATAATATCAATGAATACTTCCAACAACAGCAATAATATCAATGGATACTAATTACTGTTTATATATATTAGAAAGAACAAAATGATGGAAAAATATAGGTACCTGAGCAATGCAACCACCAAGGCCAAGACCTTCGAAGCATTGGTGAAACATTAAAGCAGCAAAGAGAGCTTTGGCAGTGTCTGGACTTTGTGATGCTCCCAGTGATATTCCTATTACCACTGAGTGTACTATTATTCCCACCTCCAACACCTATTTTTATTTATTTATATATATATATATTCAATTAATTAGCTTTACTTTCATAAATAAAATAAAAATTAAGCTACATGAGACATAAAAAGTTAAGAATCTATGGAACTCCATGCGAGAGAATTACGTAAAGAGTTGGAAAAGGGAACCAAACTCATGTGGCTTCATATGGACCCATCAATTATTATATCCCCATTCTTTTCTTCTTTTTTTTGGAACTAAGTTGTATCTCTCATTCTTTTGGGATGCTAAGTTTCATACACACGAAAAGATTGCAGATTGCATCTTTTAATCCTGAACTAATTTCAAGCTTTCCCGACACACATAGTTGACTTCACTTTTATTAAAAAAACTTACTTATATTAAAGGGTACAAACCGTATTAAAAGTTGTTTTCTGGAATCAATTACTATAGATAGATTAAGAGTTGAATTTCACAACTCATCTTTTGGGGACTCTATAGTAGGATGGGGTCAACGAATCTCTTAATGCCATCACTCAAAAACTATACATTAAATTTTAAAACTCATAAATATTAAATAGGGATATCATCTTCATCTTTTAGTATATACATACTAAAAGATAAACGAAGAATAATCAAACATTATAATTTAATTCGAACCTTCTTCCATAAAAATTTAAGAAAATAAAAACGAATAAATTACCTGGGCCACAACTCGGGTCCGGCGAAGCTGAACCTCGGATTCACCAGATTCGACGCCGACAATTCCGTGCGTGTGACCATGAGCATGCACGTGCAACCCAAGCTCGTCTCCACCGCCACCGCCACCGCCACCGCCTTGCTCTTCACCGTCACCGATCCTCTTAGACGTCTTATGATGCAATCTATGAAAATATGACGTGGCAAAGGAGTCAACAGAGAGTGTCAAAATCGCTGCGACCATCGCTATAAACCCAGTGAACGGAAACTCCCAAGCTTCTCCTTCCAGACAAGCTGACGTCAGCTTCTCGTAACCTTCCGGCAACACGTGCATAAACCCCGTCGCGAGGATTACCCCCGCGGCGAAGGCTTTCGTCACGAAGAAGAAATTCGTCTCCGGTCTTAACGACGGAACGAATTTTCCTAATAACGGAAAGAGAACGCCGATAACTCCGGCGGCGAGAACGGAAGGTATGGCGGCGATCTTGTATTTCCTAGCTCCCGCTGTGTTTTCTTTGTCTTTTTCGTGTGAACACTCGCATTTAGACTCGCCTGCGGATACGGCCACGAGGAGGATGGAGATGAAGAAGAACAAGAGTAAGAGCTTGACGTTTTGTGTGATTCTCATCGTATTAATTAGGGTTTTCCAAGGTGTTAAATTGAATCCCTCGATGTTGACGAGATGAAATGGCTGAATTAAGAAAAGAAGAGTGGGGTGAAGAGATCATAGTCTATATCTCAAAATGTGTGTATATATACATATATATATCAAGTGATATTTTGGAAGACTTATTTATTTGAACATTTGTTAAATATATAAATCTTTATGGACTTTTTTCTCTTTATATCTTTATTCAATTTTATATGGTGGTAATGGTTAAACATTGTCACAAAAAGTTGTATAGTTGTAAAATCAATTTTTTGATTAAAAAAAAAACGAATAAGCATTTAATGATATATATTAGTTATGTGCTTTTTTCAACATCTTACTAGTTCTTTATCTTATATATAGTTTAAATATATCATTATAATTCTCTAAAACGGTTTTGAAATATCCTACAAAAAAATTTAAGTGAACATTTTTTTTTTGATAGCTCAGGATACATAGACAGAAATTTATGTGAAAATTTTTAAACATCTAATCTTACCGATTACATTTGCAATCATTGACTCATCATGAGTTCATGACCAATGGCCCATGTTAACTAAGAATTTAAACGACAATTCTATTTTAAAATTGAGCAGAAGAAAAAAGGGAACGCAAATTGTTGAGAGCTATACTAAAAATGGAGATAATAAAAGAAAAATCGAAGCTTTCTTTCATGTCATTAAAACTCCATTAAGAAGGAAGAAACGGAGTACGACGCACTATAATCATCCGAAAACAGAGAGCATAAGCATAATTAACAAAATAAAAATCGTACGTGACAAAGAGAACGTTCAGACTTGCTAGTTGCTACGTGTAACTATCAAACTGTTTTACTCGTGAATAGTTTAGACTTTAATTAAAGAGATACAATTAAAGTTAACAGAAACATTAAAATAAAGAACTTTACTCTTTTTCACCTCTAAATTATGTCGAGAGAATGTCGACATAAAATGTACGGAACCACCTAATCACATAAGTTGACTACTCTCACATGGCAAGTCAAATTCTCAAAACCTCTAATAATGTCGATATTATTACTCTATCTTCCCAGTTTCCTTTCCATTTGTTTTCTCATTTTCAGACTTTAACATTTATTTATTGAGTATGAGTCTTTTAAAAATAGAATTTTTTACAAAAGATGTGACAAAAAATCATAATAGCGAAAGTTACTAATATTAAAGCAAAATCATGAAAAAAAAAGTTTGTCATAATTATCCATTTAATCAAACTCATATTTTTTTATAATTTTTGCTACAAATTTTAAAATAAATTTGAATTCGATTTTTGTTTATAAAAATGAATTAGAATATAGTATACACACTTCCACCTAATTAAGAGTAAAGATTATCAAATTATTCAATAAACTATTAACATTTATGAATATCTTTATCTATATTTATATTATCAATTATAATTAGATAACATAAAAAAAAATTGCTGAATGATAAAACAAAACTTTGTTGGACAACTAAGTTTTTATAAATAGGATAGAAATCATGGCTTAAGAAGTAGCAAAATTTTGTTTAATCTTAAATGGTGGACAAAAACATCATTGGAAATGTGATGCAAAGACCTTTTTTTGTTTTTTTTTGGTCGAGAAACGGAGACAGAAAGAAAATATTACAGACGAACTTGTCTAATTGCAGAAACCCGTTCTCATCCTCTAACATAATGGATGAAACACTCTTTGGAACAAAGTCAAAGACCCTTTTTTGTTGGGTATGCTCTTCTCCTTTACAAATTCCGTTCTACTTTGCCTCTATGAGATATATTTGTAAGTTGGCATATTGTATACGATATAGATTTATGAGTTGTCATGTTTATAGCAAACAACATATCATTAATAATGCCAGAATAGATATCTAAATTTTTGGTCTTTAAGTTTGATTAGAGACGTTGTGTCTCTTTGTGAGTGCCTAGTTTTAATATATTGTAAGGGTATAATTGTTCAGAATGGGATGTTTGGAGGATTATGCAGGTTACAAAGGTGAATTTGCACAATTGACAATGGACAATAAATTGTGTGACACTACTACGTATGTTTACTGCATTCGTGCGACAACGAAACCAAATAGTACTATTAATTCTTAGAATCCACGAAGTCCAACGTAGCTGATTTCACACAATTCAACCCAATATTGGAAGAGTTAAAAGAAATCACGAATTTTGCTTTCCAAGAACTCTAGAATTTATTATAACTTCTTATTTTCTCTTTAACGAAATTGAATTATTGCATGTATGAAAGTTTAGATATTTTTCCTGTGGATCTCATCTAATATGCTAAAAACCTTTTACAAGGAAAGAAAAAGTACTGATTTGATTTGAAAGACATTTCCTACCAATAAACGATAATATCCACTCAATACTTTTCCAAGCTTTTTATTTCATATTTCAAATTGATTAAACATTTTTGCCTCAAAATCCTAATTTTTTTAAACCAGTCAGAGGATACAGTTATACAAGATAGTTGATTTATTTGGTCAACGACACACCTAAATTATTTAGTAAGTAGCACAATAGTTGAGTATACTACAATATACTAACACAGCCAAACGATTTTCTTGAAATTGTTTTGTACTGTATTCATTTATATAGCAATGCTGTGAGGTCTAAAGAGAACAAAACCTTTTATTAAATTACAAAATTTGAAGAGTTGTGAAATGGTCCACACCGAATGAGTTTGATTCTTGAAGAGAAAAAACAAAATGACTTTGATTCTTCGAACTTGCTTAGTTTCACATCAACGAAGACGAAGACTTCCTCTACCATCGACCTGGAGTCTTTTTGTACGTTGTTTTGGCAAGGTCTAATCAAAATAATCGAATAAAGGAAGGACCCTCTTCCTAGCTTCTGACGTGACCAATTAATTTTACTTTCAGGTGGTTGGGATAATTGTGGAATATGACAACACAATTAATATAAATCATTTACCCAAAAAAGAAAAAAAAAAACTATGGCATTAAAAACTAAAAAGACTTAATGCTATAAAGTTCAACTATTCTAAAACTCGAATTTATGCTAGGACGAGACGAGTGGCATATATGAATGCCCAAGCCCCCTATGTAAAGAAAGCCGTCGTATGATGAATGTATGGGTCACACAAAGAATCTTTTTGACTTTTCTATATGTGATACAACTAATAGTCATTCGTTGAAGTCTTGGATTATTAATTCATTCGGGATTAAATTCAAAGTTTGAATTTGGAGTTTCAACGGCTTTTATTTTGTTCAATCATCTAAAGGATAATAATACGACCAGAAAACAAATGCACATGACGAGCCCGCGTTTATACGACCAAAAAACTCAGACTAAGAATCGTCGATTAAAATATGCGAAAGATCCAAATTACAATAAGTGCGTTTTATGCACATCGAATCTGGTGTGTAGATTGGTTATATACGTTGAACAAACTAATATTACGCATATGACAGTACCATGGGCGATCCAAAACCTTACGACAATGTATCCAAAAACTACTTTGAAAAAAAAAACCTCCAAAATCTAATAGAAAGGCTAGCAAAAGGAAATGTGAGTATAAAATCGCACAAAGGTTTTTTATAAGTCTCGTCTCTAACTAAGTCATTTGAGATTTGAGAAGCATTTTACTGGAAGGCATACACAAGAACGAGTATTAGAATTAACCCCTAGGCACTAACCTGTAGAGTAACAGCATAAAAGTCGTTCTTCTAGTTACGTTTTTATCGCTTTTGCATCTTTTGCGGCATTAGTTTGCTCTTCATTCTCGTCATAGTACTCTTCTTCTTCGGAGCTGTCAACAATGTCATGCTCGAAATACTCTTCATAGAACTGTTCGTCTGTGTCTTCATGCTGACCGTTTGTACCGTTCCCGAGCAATTCTTTCGACTCTTGTCGCCTTAACTTCTCTTGGATTCGGTCTCTGATGGCAGTTCCCTAATATGGATACAAGTTATTTTATATCAGATTCGTCAGAAATCCCGAGATGACAAAAAAAAAAGAACACTAAAAAAAGTGGATTCCTATTACGTTTGTTAGTTGCTTCAGAGTTTAAACTTACCATTTTATGGCAGCCTTCTTCAAACATTTCAAGGAATCCAGCTACCCAGCGATCAGCATTCTCCACCCACTCATTACGGAGCATTTTCACAGTTTGGAGCTGAAAAAATTGAAACGGGTCTCATAAACCATGTCAGCACTTAGAACTATCTCAAACCAAAAACGAGATAGGGACAAGAACAAGAAATTAGAGGTCAATAGTTATATGTGGCGTTAACCAAATCACTAAAGTCGGATATCAGATATCCAAGTTATCAGGTATATAATAGAGAGAGCTCCACCACAAGACAGAATGCAGTTTTCATGCGTAGACTAAAACATACACGTGAATTGTATGTACTAAATTCCACAGATAGACAATTCAGTGACTTGGTATGGCATATTCAAGCACAAAAACAAACTCTCACAAATAAGAGATACATAGACTGTCAACGACTTAGCTGACTCTTCATGCATTTTAAAAGGACCCAATTTTCAAAAGATTTGCATACGACAGTAATGCATATTTATCCACTGATGTTGTCTCAAGAACCAAGATAACGACATAACCTTTAACACTCAAAACAACGGATTCAGGAAATTTAATCTCACAAAGAGAAAGTGAGAAAGTCAAAATACATACCTTTTCCCCAACTTTCTCTTGTTGTTCTTTGACCTTCTCCTGAAGTTTCTTCAGCCTCATATTAACTCTAAGCCTCTTTTCCTGTTGCAAGTCAAAACATCCAAAGTTGACTACAGTTCTTCGAAGTGGAAATTTCAAAACAACAAGACAAGGAAGTCAAGAAAAGATGTCATGCCTTCACAAAGCTAACTCCAAGATCTTCCCTCGAGTATCCCCTATCCAAGTTACGCATGACATACTGGTTATAATCTTTCACTATCCTCATTATTATGTCCGAAGTAGATATCCCTTCAGTTCGCTTAGTCTCCTTAAACCTCCCAACTTTTTTAACCTGCAATGGATACTCAGTTAAATAAAAACAGAGATCCTTATGTTGTCACACATAATGGCAACATATAAAGGAGTGTGAAAGCTCACAAATTCATAGACATCCTTTCCAGCTCCACTGGCATCAGCATACCTGTGAATGATATTTATTCAGATAAGTGTAGGAAGACCATGAGAACAATGATGTTCG